GGAGATGCATGTAATTATTTGGTCGCAAAATAAATTTTGAGGCAGAACGGTTCGTGAACGCTCCGCGATGCGGTAAAGAATTTTCCAATCGCGGACCTGGTACCCAGATTCGCCTAACTTTTTCCTTCTTTGTTTTCAGCCCCAATTCAGTTAAATTCGGTTCTTTTTCCCAAATTCTCTTTAGATTCAGATACCCAGTAGATGTACACAAGAACCTAAATCAAAACAACTCTATAATTCAACGCAATAACCTCAAGAACTCCTCATTTCAGCCCAATTCAAGAACGAAAGTAAATTCAAGAACACATATCAAGAATATCAAACTTTCAACCCTTTCTAGGACGAATTCTTGCTGAAATAAACATGTTTGGCGCGTGGGTGAACGAACCCAATGCTCTGAAAGTCTCACATACCTCGTAGGATTGAATCCTTGGCAAAATCCAAACACAAAATCGCAAGAACTTGACGAATCTTTGAACTTTTCCTTCTCCTTTCTCCGCTTAAGTTCTTTCTCCAAAAACCCTAGTGTGATTTGGTAGGGCGTAAACTGATCTAATTCTGTTTAGACCCCAATTAAACTTCTAAAAACGAAATAAATTAATTGGGCATGGAAAAGACCAAAATACCCCTTTAAAATCCGGTTTTGACTTTCCTTATCTAGACAGCCCAACTTCCAATGGACATATCTCCCTCATACGAACTTGTAATTGAGAAAACTCGGCGGAGTTGGAAAGATAATTCAAAGATCTTTTCTACGGTATCTGGTAGCACACCTAAATCATCCTGAGCTAGGAGTCATGGTCGTTTGAAGTTGACCAATTTTCCAGATTTTTCATTCTTTCCAAAAAATGACTCTTTCTAATTCTAGCTCTTTCACTTAGCGAGATGTTACAAATATGTTAAATATTAGTGTTTAATATGCGTGTAGATGTTGGTAAATCATCAATGTTTGTTCTTTCATCAAAATATGTCTGTATTTTGATCAATATTGTCCATTCCTAAGCCCGAATACAGAGGATGCAATTTCATAATTTAAAATAAGAAAACCAACAAAAAAGTTGGTATCATCAACCCGCACCAACATGGGTTCTGGTGCACTGGTGGGAGCGCTTCCCCGTAAGAGTTTTATCAAGAAAGAAAGATAACCCACAGAATTTGCTCTACAGTGATCCTTTTTAAGAAGAACACGGAAGCGATTATTAGAGCTAATATTTCATGAATAAATTATAAAATTTTATATACGTTGAGCTGAGTTTCTATATATAACATACAAAATAATTTTTTTTATGCCGAATTTATATAATGTTAAATTTAGAAAAAAAAAAGAATTATAATGGATTTTTTTTATTATATTTATTTGTGGGGTTCATATTTATATGATTCAATTTGTCATGATAAATGTAGTTGAGTGATTTTTTAAGATAAAAACCTTAAGTTGAGTGATTTTAGTGATACAAAATAAATTTCAATGGATTTTCTAGATAATTTCTCATCTTTTACATTTCAATAGATGTAAGCAATAACATGTCAATTTTAATTCATCACGACGAAATATGGAATGTAATAGATATGTCTCAGTTTTTTTCAATTAGCGTCGCTTCTTTTAGAGATCAATTTTTAAATAAATTTATAGTTTCAGTTATTGACGAAAATATAGTTAGGTTTTTAAAAAATCATGCTTAAAGTTGATTTTGAATTTTTAAAGTTTCTTTGTTGATTTTTTATGTTATTTACTTATTTATAGTGTTATTTGTAGTGTTATTTGATTAAAAATTAATTCAGTAGTAATGTTATTTGATTTGTATATGACAGTATTATTCATATGATCAAATAAAAATTTAACAACAAATATAAAAGAATTTTATAATTTATTTTGATTAAGCATGAAATTTTTTGGTTGACAGATGATTATTGCATGGTGTTTTGATGGTTGAAATAATATATTATGGGGAAAAACCTTACCCGCACCGGGTGTATACACCAAACTAATGCAATTTTCATTATTATGTGATTTAATGAAGCAAAACACATGTTAATTAATCATGATTAAGTAAAATGAACTATAAATTTAAACACATGGCATGCAATGCTTGGTGTATACACTCGGTGCGGGTAAGTTTTACCCTATATTATGTATTTGTAAATATATATTATGATTAAAGTGTCAAACCAACACGAGAACATTGTGCAATTAAGTATCTTACTACAATGAGTTGGTATTTTTTTCGTTCGTTTGTTAATTGGTATTGTTTAGTAATCTTGTGGTGCAAATGATAGTGTATATCAGTTTGAAGTGTACACCAAATTGTAATCATAATATACACCATAATAATTCAATTTATACAAAAAAAATATCATGTTTATACCATTTTATATCATAATTTATAGCAATATGCATACCAATTATGCACAAAATTTAAACCAATTAAATAGTTAATATACATCATTCTATATCATAAATGTCACAAAACCCAACCCACCGTGCCGTGCGGGCACCCTCTCTAACACCTAAGTAGGAGGAACCTTAGTTCCCAAAATGGTTAAAAACATGCGGAGGATTAAGAAAACTGGAATAAAAGGAATTTCAAGAGATTTCTATATGATAAAGAATTTTAACAACTGAGGTTAAAATTTACAAAATAAATAACACCCCCAAGGATCTAGTCTAAACAGGTATAAGAACTTCTAAGATTACAATGTATAAAAAGCAGTAACTACGACACAACTCCCACCACAGGAAAGGAAGAGTAGAAGCTGTTGGAGATTGTCTTCGTCTTCACCTGTGAAACATCACTGACCCTGCAATCAGACTATGTCCAAAGGCATAGCAAGAGTAGTATCAGTACAAACCACCCATATTGGTAGGCTTTATCGGTCAACACGATGCCCACTGCAAAATATAAAGAAATCAACCAGCAGGAAATATGCAACATGAAAGTATGCCCCTTAACCTTTATCCTCCTGCCTTTATTGTTATCGTATACCTTAAGCGTACTAGAACACTTGACTCTAACCCCCCCCTAGTCTAGCATCCTGCATCACTCCGCCTTTGATCATAGCTAAACAGTTCTAACTCGCAAAGGAGTTCCCGAATACAACCACTACCAACTCGGCCAACCACTCACGATATACCCTCGCTTCTTCTGTGCCACTCTTATACCTATGACTACACAGTATACCCTGTCCAGGCTCGCTAACTATTTCAAATACAAATCCCCTTCCCAAGGTAGGATCTAACTACTATTTAGATCATGAACACTACCCTACTTATCATTATTTAAGAACGCAAGCATCCCCTCTAATAAAATCCCCTCGGTCTCCAGTTGCCAGACCACATACCGGTGGGCCCGCGCTCATTCGCAAGCAATTCCAATGAGTAGATATAAGCCATTTAATTACAACACAGTTAACACACATATATAAGAGGCATAATTCAATTATATTTTAAGGGCACATACAATTCTCAAATATCCAAAGCAAGTAGATATGAAAGTAGTAATCACAAATGGTTCTCGCATAGAACCCACGCCCAAACTATTAGTGTGTCATAACGTGACACCCGATCCTATATACATGTGTTGAAATGTGACGCCCGGTCCAATATATGTGTCGGAACTTGACACCTGATCCAATATATATATATCGGAACGTGACACCCGATCAAGTCAGCACAACCACAATCACAATCACACTCAAAATGAATCCATTAGATTCGGTTCACATTTCCCTATTCACATATATGCATGCATACAATGAAGCAATTAAACAGCATACATCACACAAACAGGAAATCAAACCATCACCTAACCCTAGTTCACAAGACAAGGCTTTGCCCCATGGTACACATCATCCTTAGTAACTAGGGTACAGGTACAATCATCTTTTTTTCTATTCACGAAGGCCTAAAAATGGATTCTACTATCAATTAACATTATATTACACAGTGAGCACGAATTTACGACTATTCAATTGAGTAAACCTAGCCTACCTAGGTGCCAAGCTGCTGCAGAGGGTTTGTAGCACCAATCCTGGCTTTCGGACAATGAGATGGTGGATTTCAGCCGGGAATCAGCGAGTTATCGTCAACCTTGTGCTAGAAATCTATTTCTCCTTCCTTCTCAAGCCTAGAGTAACCTTTTGAGAGTTTTTGGGGTGATTCTCGCCTTTTTTTAGCACTTAGGTAAAAAGGAGAAAATAAGACTTCACGTCATTAAGTTCTATCCCCGACCATCCCGCTCTAGCGCTTCCCATCCCGCTGGGGCACCGCCACCGTAGCAGCATCGTCCCTGCTCTGGCAGGATGGTGTGCCTGAGTTACACGATGTGTTTCCTTTCTTAATTAACAATGATTTGGGTCGTTACAATTAGGGGTGTACAAACCGAACCATAAAGTCAAACCGAACCAATGAACCAAGTCAAACCGAGAAAATAAATTGACTTATGGTTTGGTTTGATTGGTTTGGCGTTGAAAAAAAAAAACCGACTCTTCTTGGTTCGATTTGGTATTAATAAAAAAAAAGTCAAACCGAATCCAACCCAAATCGACATAATACTTATATAATTTTAACTTTTTATACATAAAAATATTTATATAATCTATTTTGTGAATATTTTAAAATTAGTTTTATTAATTTTCAATATGTACAAATTAGATATATATTCAGATTTGGGCTTATAACTTGTAATTGGTGAAATGATCCATCAATTGGTGAAATGATCCAAGGCCAATATAAACCTAAAAGTTAAAACCCTAGAAACTAGTCATATTCTCATTTCTCACTTTCCACTTTGCAATCTTTCCACTTTCCAGAGAGCTGCTCATTCTTCCCATTCATCCGTTCATCTATAGATAGTCAGGTACATTTTTCTTTTTCTTTTTCTTGCAAATGTAAGTTTATCAATGAAGTTCGTCACTTACTTTTTCTTGCAAATGAGTAACTTATTTTGAATCGTTGTTGGTTGTTGCTACAAGTCTTAATTTTTTGTGTTTCGCTTCCTTAGATGGAGAATACGGCTGGAACTGATATAGAAATGATTATTGACAGTCCTCTGGTTGTATCAATACCTCAAAAGAAAGGCAAAAGCACTCATCATCTCCGCACTCCTCCTAAAAAGCAAAAAAGAACAACCCCAATAGATTTCATTCCTACAAATGGTAATACTGGGAGAAAAACGTCACAGATTTGGGATCACTTTGCTAAATTTATTGCTAAAGGAGGTAAACGAAGAGCAAAATGTAACTATTGTGTAAAACACTTTACTGCTGAGACAAAAACAAATGGAACCTCTGTATTGTGGTCACATTTAAATGACAAATGTCTCAAATCTCCCTTTAGATTTGTAGATAGAAAGCAAACAACGTTGAAAGTTGTACCAATCAAAGTAGGGAGACAAGAAAATGGAACAAGTTCTATAGAAAAGGTTGTGTACAATATGGAGGATATCAAGAGAGCCATCGCTGAATTTTTCATTATTGATGAACAACCTTTTAAAGTTGTTGAAGGGGAAGGTTTTAAAAAATTGATGGCCAAAGCTTTGCCTAATTTTGAATTACCTTCACAGGTAATTGTGGCTAGACATTGTTTGAAGATCTATCAAGAAGAGAAAGAGAAGCTTAAAAAACTTGTCAAGAATCAACATATATGTATTACTAGTGATACATGGACATCACTTCAAAATTTGACTTATATGGTCGTGACTGCTCATTGGATTGATGATGAATGGAACTTACAGAAAAAGATTCTTAATTTTTTCCAAACTCCGGATCACAAGGGTGAGACTATAGCTAAAGGTATTGAAGCATGTTTGTTGGATTGTGAAATTTAAAACTTGTTTACAGTGACTCTGGATAATGCATCTGCCAATGATGCTGCCATTAAGCATTTGAAGGCACGTATTGATGATTGGAAAGGGGTCATATTGAGAAATGAGTTTTTACATGTTAGATGTAATGTTCATATTTTGAACATAATTGTAAAAGAAGGTTTAGATGAACAAATTGAGCCAATTTCTCGCATAAGGAATGCAGTGAAATATGTCAAATCTTCTGCTTCTAGGTTTGCCTCTTTCAAGTCATATATTAAGAAGACTAAGCTAGACACTCATGGTCTCTTAAGTCTTGATGTTGAAACTAGGTGGAATTCTACATATACGATGATAGAAACTGCTGTAAATTTTGAAAAGGCCTTTGCAAGAATGTACGTGGATGATCATAACTATCGAACGTATTGTCTTCAAGTGAATTGAAAGGACATCCAACTACAAATGATTGGCAGCTTGTGAAAGGTTTTATAAAGTTTCTTAAAATTTTCTATCAGTCTACTTTAAAATTTCAGGGAGCTTATATGTTACTTCTAATATATTCTTCCATGAATTTTTTAATGTTCGAAGTTCTATATTGAAGTATTCTTGTAGTGAAGATCTAATTTTGATTGACATGGCTGGAAGGATGAAGGTTAAGTTTGATAAATATTGGGAGAAAATTAAGAAACCTGAGAATTTGACCATGTTGTTGTTCATTGCTATTGTGTTGGATCCTAGGTATAAGATGCGATATGTCAATTTTATTCTTAGCAAAACATATGGCTTCTTATTGGGAAAATTAAAGGCAGATAATGTGGAAGGTGTCTTGAAACGTTTGTATAATCACTATAATTATTCTTCGACTGAAACTTTTACAAATAACATTGGAGGTGACACTAACATGATGGGTGAAGTTGATGATATATTGCATTCTCAATGGGAGAAACATTTAGAAGATGAGGAAAACATTGCGAAAAAATCTGAGCTTGATCAATATTTGATGGATAATGTAGAGAAGCCAAAAGATTTTAATATCTTGACTTGGTGGAAAGCTTCATCGAATAGATATCCAACTATTTCAAAAATGGCAAGGGATGATCTTTTTATTCTCGTGTCCACTGTTGCATCTGAATCAGCCTTCAGTACAGGTGGTCGTATTCTTGATTCATATCGGAGTTCTTTATCACCAAAGACAATAGAAGCTCTTATTTGCACTCAACAATGGATACGGTCACCTTCTAAAGAATGGAAGTTTCAAGATTATTTGGAGGAAGTTCAGAAAATTGAAGAAGTTGAAAAAGGTAATTTACTAATTTAATTCTTAATTCTCCATCTTTAATATTAATTTTCTACTTTGAAAACAACTTTATGCTAGTTGCTATCTAACAAAGTTGAGTTGACAAATGATTCAATATCTAATTACTTATTTATGTGCTAATAATTCTTTCCTTTCAGAATGTCCAGGTGCTCCTTTGAGTATCGATTAGTTTATTGAAATATCTTTTGCAAATCTTTTGTTATATAGGTATTTCCTTTCCTATTATTGAAATAGCGTTTTACAGTTCTTTATTATCTAACAGAGTTAATTTTACAAGTCTAGTTACTCGTTCACGTACTGATAATTTTCTTTCTTTCAGAATGTATGTCTAGGTGACCTTTTTAGTATATATTAGTTTGGATGAAGAAAATATGCAGCTGGATCATGGTAGTTGAAGATTATTGGAGTAGCTTTGCAGTTCTTTTGTTGGGTTTTTAAGAGGATATTTTACAAACATAATGTGAAGTGTTGTGTTTTTAATTTTCAATGTTAAATAGACTTAATTTTGTACTAAAAACACCTCCAGGTTGTACAAAATGAAGATGGATAGATGAATATTGTATTTTCCTATTGTAAAACCTAAACACTCTTTAAAAAATTGATAAAACCGAAAGAACCGAATAAAATCGAAACCGAAAAAACCATTTTTTATTGGTTTGATTTGGTTTATAAACTTAATAAACCGACATAATTGGTTTGGTTTTTTTTTTATAAAAAACCAATCCAACCTATGTATACCCCTAGTTACAATAGATACCAATTTACCCCTCGTTCGTCCCCGAACAACAAGCGGAGGAGTACGCACAGATCATTTGGAAGACTTTGAAACTAACGGATTGGCCCGTCATGGAACGACGAAAGATAGCGGTTTCACAAGGTCTAGGCACGAAAGGATCTTTGTCCAGGAACCGGCTAGGGAATGAAGCAACACACGGAGGGAAGAACAAGAAGCACCCATTTACTTGGCCTGACCCCGCCAGAGGGGTAGGAGTCACACTGAAGCAGGGCTGCTGTGGCAGGAATCCTCCCGCCGTGACGTGGAATCGGAAATATTTTAGAAGGGGAAAAGAGGAATGGTTTCCCCATTCCCTCCTACTCTCATTCAAAATTCCCAAAACTCTCTCAATTGCTTTGCTCTAATCGTCCATCCCACGGTAATGTTCTTGTTCCTTACTCTATTTACTTCAATACTTGTTTATCAACGATTGCATGAAAAGAAACAATTGGGTAGAATGGCCTAGGGTAGTTTTCAAAAATGTGAATATAGGTTTTCTTGATTTGGTAACAAAAAATGTAGCATGGGAACTTCCCTTATGTTCACAATATCTCCACAACGTTCTGAGCGTAAGGATTTTGCGGTTAAATGATTGAAAGGGTTCTGAAATGGGTGAGGGAATTCGAATAGGTTCTTGATGTAAAACTTGGATTCGGGAACCCTTTAAGGGTTGTATTGATAGGATTTATTTTTTTGCATAGTTAAGTACTAGGGTACTCTAGATACACTGATCTGATGAAACATTTGCTAAAAATGGGGTTTTGGGGAGAAGGGGTGCCATGATTGCACCATGGAGTTCATCCCAGGTGAAGGTCGCTCTGGCAGCCTCCATCCCACTGTGGCAGACTCCTTCATGCCGTTGTGGTGGGGTCCTAGCCACTTTGGCGAGATTCTGTAGAACAGTGGCCTCATTGCCTCTTAAAATAGAAATTTTTCTTTCTCCTTAACCCATGATTGACTAATTCCATGGAGTCTTAACATGTACCTTTCGTGAATTTTGTAGACTTGTCTACTATGGCTGGAATTAATGAGGAAAACTTGCCACTCGTCCAATTTCCCGATGCTGCAAGTCGGGACAGACACCATGATCACTGAAACACTAAATTCCTGTGCGAGAGGGATTTTCACCTGCTGAGCTTAGCGGAGAAAGCACATGCCTTCCATGCCCAGGTGATAGAGTTTGGATGGGGTCCGCTGACATAAGCTCCCTCTATCGCTCACTCAGGCTGGGTGAGGGAGTTCTACACTATACTTCCTATTTTCCGTTGGGACAATCCTCACCCCACAATCCGCATTCGAGGAGTCAACATTTCTATGAGTGCTCAGTTTATCAATGCGGTGCTCGAGGTGCCAGAGGTCTCCAACTCAGAGTACGAGATCTGACTAAGGGATATGGATTTGGGCTGGCTGCGGGACATACTGGTTGAGGCTGCACGTTGGGATCAGGTCTACTGGGCTACTATAAAGGATATCACTAGTACTCACTGCTCACCGGATGCCAAGAGGTAGTTGCACCTGGTTTCTAGGAGGATTCGCCCGTCAGGAAACTGCATCGACGTGACCTTTCCTCGAGCTATAGTGGTGGCTTGTGCTATACAGGGGGTTGGACTAAACGTAGGGGCACATACTGTGTCCGAGTGAAAGATGTTCTGAAGAGGCAACAAGAAGGCATTCATCATCCATGTCATGGTGACAGTGATGTACAAGCGGGCGGGGTTGCCACTCCTGGACACTGAGGAGGTACTTCCTATGGATCCCCTTTTTCATCCACTTTTAATCAGACAGCCCTCCACCTAGGGAAAGAAGAAAAGAAAGGCGGATGGAGTTAGCAGTAGGGCAGCGGCTGAAGCAGGCGATGGAGGAGAGGATGATGATGAGGCCGACGACGCCCTTCCTACCCAATCTCAGCCCCCATTTTCAATTGCTCGTGTGGAGGAGGACATGGCGGTCGTCCAGAGGAAACTTGGAGGCTGCCAAGCTAGCGCCTCGACTTCTCTTCCACCCTCCACTGCCATTAAGGTTGAGAAGCTCTGTCGCCAGCTGCGATGGGGGAGAAAGAAGAATTTAAAGAGGGATCGCCTATGGGCCGGATGTGAAAGACCTTTAAGGTCATTTTCTCTTACGTCACCCTCTAGCGGGAGGTTCCCACGCTCAAGCCAGAAGACTTCCGAGAGTTCCCCTGGTTGAGTGACGCGTGGACTAGCGAGACAGCCCCAGAGGACATGGGGTCCGACAGCAACACTTCTCATTCCAATGGTCCTTGATTTGGTTTTACCCCAATTGGGCATGTAATAGACAGAATTTCTGCTTTTTTTACGTTTTTGTAAGCACATAAATGCTCGTTTTGCTATTTTCATAGCCTTCATTATTACTAGGTGTTTATAACTCTTTGTTCTATTGTTGAGTACTGTTTAGGATACGGAAATTAGTCCATGCACAATTCGGGGTCCATAGGCAAAACAAGGGAAAACATGAGAGACAGGACTGAGATTCTGTCTCGCCCTGTCCCGCTCTGGCGGTGGACTTCTCGCTCTGGCGGTCTCGCCCTGGCTGGAATAATCCCGCCCCAGCGGCTTCGACGGGACCAGTTCCCAGGATAACAATTCCTACGATTTCACCTCATTTCTATAATTTTTCATTGACTCTCATTGTCATAAATAAGCATGTAGGATAACCCTCTAGCTAGGATAGGCATTGTCCACCCTGAGTCAACCCAACGGTATACTCAAAAGAACCCTTTCTCATTAATATAACACAACAAGCATGCACATCCCCAGAATATGCTTATTAACCACACGGTTAAAAATCGATTGCGAAACACATCGAGGGAACCTTTCGTATCAACAAATTTCTCTATTATGCAATAATAGCCTTTTTTCTTACATGGTCCCCGATTGATCCCGATTGCCCTGAAACTGAAATTTCCTTACAGTCACAAATCATTCATTTCCCTTACCCTCTTTATCAATGGTAAGTCCATTCTCAACTAACAGTTGCATACCTTCTCGTAAGTATATCATGTCACACGTCTAGAATTCGTCCAAGAATCACATTATAGCATTCAAGCAAGTAACCTTCACACAGCAGCAGTTATTCAGATAATCACTATGCACATAATCATGATTTCCAGCTACATCACACAGGCAAGTCAAAATTCATCAACTTAATTCGCTCCATGGATGACCATTAGCTAATCGTCCATGCACTTATACCGCCTAATTCGTCCAGGAATCACATTATAGCATTCAAGCAAGTAACCTTCACACAGCAGTAGTTATTCAGATAATCACTATGCACATAATCATGATTTCCAGCTACATCACACAGGCAAGTCAAAATTCATCAACTTAATTCGCTCCATGGATGACCATTAGCTAATCGTCCATGCACTTATACCGCCTCTAAGGCCAGATACCAATTGGAACCTTCTCTGTTCCAATTTACCTTGCTTGTGTCCCTTCAGTCGTGACTACGACCTTCAGTTCACCTCGTTGAGATGCCAATTGGAATCTGAAGATACCAATTGGACTCAACACATACCACAGACGACAACCCGCACGAAAGGAGAGAAGAAATAGAACCACTTCCTAGAATGCTTCATAGCTTCCTGAAGATTAGATGTGGACGTCAACACACCAATCCACAAAAGTCTATTCCACATTTGCTCTTGTACTGGGAGACCGGCAGCCTGGGCTCTGATATCAATTATCACGACCCAACCCATCGGGTCATGTGGGCACCTACTCTAACACCTAAGTAGGAGGACCCTCAGTTCCAAAATGGTTAAAACATGCGAAAGATTAAGAAAACTGGAATAAAAGAAATTTCAAGAGATTTGTATATGATAAAGAATTTTAACAACCGAGGTTAATATTTACAAAATAAAGAACACCCCCAAGGATCTAGTCTAAACAGGTACAAGAGCTTCTAAGATTACAATGTATAAAAATCAGTAACTACGACACATCTCCCACCACAAAGAAGGAAGAGTAGAAGCTAATGGAG